GTTTTTTAGTTTTTTGGAGGAAAAGAGTCTTTTATTTTGTCCTTACGTATAGATATCACGCAAAAACATCGTTAAATTGCATTCGAAAACGGTCAAAGTGGATATTTTTGTTGAAATATGCTGCCTGAAGCTTTTCGCGATTACAATACTTCCTTTTTACTTCGTACAAGGAAGTAAAAAGGGAAAAAAAACTGGTTTAAAACATGTCCTTTACCTAAGTACAGCACCTTGCAATACTAAATAATTTCTCTTTATTCAGTTTCAGTTTCTTCACATTTCTCTAAACTTGATGATTCAGATCTTGTCCATGGGTAAATTTTACTGTTTTGGTTATTGTTTCAATAACCATATCCATCTGCAAACTTTTGGCACCATGTTACAATAAATATATAATTAAAATGGATTTGCGAGCCACCAGTTTGAGACCATTGTTTTAGTATATTTTAAGAAAGTGCCATTGAACATCAAAACATAACCAAAGTGTAGTTATTAAGTTGAATTCTATATTTTTTCCAAGATGGGCAGTATTATACAATCTGTGACAACTTTAAACATAAATTTCTAACTGAACATATTTAGATTAATTGCTGCTTTTTATGTAATTATGCACACTAACCTAATATTATTTATTATACAATGACACTTCATTAATTATGAAGTAGAACTGATTATGATTAAAAAAGTATTTTTAAATCTAATACACTATATCTTATATGTCTAAAATGTGTAGTATTTGAGAATATATACTTGAGAACATTAATGGCACAAATTTAAATTTATATTAACTAGATGTTCAGTACAGTAACAACAATAGTACAATGCTTAAATCTGTGTTGCAGTAATGGTTACATAATAAATTTTAAAGTTATTATTGTAGTAATGTGTGGCCAAACAATTGTTTCAACATGTATTGTAATATTTTTTGAACTACTTTATTCAGTGTTTAAGAAAACCATAATCTTGTTACAACCTATCGTGTATCAAATGAATAGAAATGCAAAGAACATTGCTAATTATTTAAAGAAAGGGAAAAAAAAAAAAAAAGATTTATTTTTGCAAAGAAAAGCATGCAGACTGAAACAAAGGTGTCCAAAATACCAGAGAAAATTATTACAGGAACAAAATAACAAAAAGGAACACAGGCAAAGAGGAAAGTGATGAAAACAGACAAAAAGCAAATCATCAACAAAAAGCTGTTTCTGAGAATAAAAAAGTTTGTTTCTGTGACTTGAAGGGAATGTTCTTGTGGATAATTTCATTAACTTTTATGGATTATTTGGGTTATGGAGTAACACAGGATAGCTATCTGCTTAAGGAAAGGGTTGCCTTCATGAAGGACTCTCCAAGGGAAATCTCAACAATCCCATGCCTGTTCACCAGTATCTGAACTTGGATAGAACTACCAGCATTCAGCGATCTTGCTGCTCAGCTGCTGGTGGGGCCTCATTAACTTTTGTGCAAATGGTGACTAAGTTAGCTTTAATGTTTAGTTTGATATTAAAAACAAGTCTATATAAGATGAAACTTTGGCTAGAAACAGTAAAGCTTAGACAATTTCAAAGCATTAAAGCTAGAAGAATAAATCTTGTGGGCAATGATGATATTCTGTATGCAAATGATGATATATGTATCTTGAGGATCTATAAGGTCAGTACTTTGGTCTAAGATATGGAACTGCTGGTGAGTAATAGCTAGTCATAAGTAAATGCCATAATTCAAGATATTAGTCTCTGTTCTATGCAGTTTTTTTTATTCAAGTTAACATGCAGCATGTATTTTTGCAACTATTTTCAAAGCAATATGAATAAAAGTTTCATTTGTTAATGAAAGGTTAGTTGTTTGATCTCTATGGAAGCAAGGCAAGTTTTAAGTTTGAAAAGTCTCACAAGTTTTGGTGACATACACTGAGTCAAGACTCCTACTTAGACTTAAGTGACTTATCGCTACGTCTAGATAAGCAACAGAAACATATGAAGCATATGAAAGACCCTTTTATTTAAAACTAACTAAGTTGAACAGAAGGCACATCTGGTGCTTACAGATCAGCCAGCATTTAAGGCATGAACTGAAAATCAGAATTTTAAATTGAATTAAATCTAAGTAACTGTTAGCCAAGAACTACGTAGCAATATTTAAACATGGAAGTTGTCTCTTAACCCAGCTGGCATGACACTATCGGCACTAATAAAGGAACACTGTAGACAGGAATGCTTAATATAAAATAATAATTAGTAGCATAAACTTCAGTAGGCAGAAAACACTTGTGATTCAAACCCTCAATTAATATACACACGAGCTAATTTGCATTCTGGCAGGAAAACAAAGAAGTCACAGTATGGCTTCATAAATACCTTACCAGTTAATATTCAAGTAATATTTAATTATCTGTAGTGAAGTGAAACATATCATTATAGATTGAATTTTAATACACAGTAGTCACTGAATGATTATAACTGCATTTAAAAACTACTTTGCTTGCAGGCCTTGAAAGTGCCCCCTTTATGTGAATTATTTCAGAAATATGCACGTATTTTTCGTGGAGATTTTCATCTCAAGTAGATAGTAAATAATTCTTGTGCTGGCATAATCATTTACCAAGTAACCATTTAACAGCAACAGAAAAAATATTTTCAATCAAACTGGTTTAATCACTATTAACTGAAATACTATTTTCAGATATGGAATCCACTAGAGGCGAAGCAGCTAAAGCAGTAGAACATGTTGATATTTCAGTGAAGGCATAATTGACAATAATTGAAGCACTTAAGATCTTCATGGGATTTTCTCTCTGTATAACATAAATATCAGTTAATTTCCCATATAAAGTGCTTTACAAAGGCATTCTTATCTAAACCACTAGTGAAAATTGTAAAAGCAAACTTCTGAGAAATAAATAATGAAAAGACAATAAAAGAAAAATCTGAAGGTAAAAATATTCTAATAAAAAATTTCAAGAAATAAATTTTAGTTTTTTTGCTATTTTTCTATAACATGAAATTAGAAAATGGAATTAAAAGACATAGCAAATAATAAAGCATTGCTCATATTTGAAACTAGATTGTATAATTTAATTGCATGTATGTTTTGTAGGGGAAAAATTTTACATCACATGGCCACATATCTTCATGCAAAACACTTTAGATAAAGATGAAAGGATGAATTAAAATTGTTCTCATTCATTAGCTAACTAGCAAAGAAACACTCTAGGGATAAACATCTCATCAAGATTAGCAACACTGCTACTCACTAAATACAATCAGGTGCCAATAAAAAGTATAATTATTTCATCATGTGTTTTTCCCCTTTCATAATGTGGAAGAAACAAATATACCTATAAAAAGTATAATGCAATGCGAATGTATGCATGCATGTACATATAAATTATTAATTTTGTAAGAAAAATTTAATTAGATAAAAAAATTAAATTTGTCTGTTATAAGTGCAGTGGCTCTTTCAGTGATTAAGCAATTAGTTGGCTAGATAAATATTTATTCGGTAACCCTAACTAATGTTTCCGACTGGTGACATTTATAAATAAATATTTAAAATTTATTATATTTAAATATTGCTACATCAATAGAACTTGTTTTTAAAATAATTAATTTGACAAAAAAAATTATTGTTTATTTTAAACAGTTGCTTGTTGCTTTAACTGTTGAGCCCTTCTGGTTTGCTTTAATTTTTTTAATGTGAAAAATGACAGATATTTAAAATTTCAAAATAACTTTCCAAAATGTTGATTTGTAATGTACAAATAAATTCAGTATTGAAAATATTCCCAAATTCAGAACTGTTAAGAAATGAAATAATTTTTTCCCCATAATTCTGTTTTTCCTTGGATTATTTCCCCTTGTTTATAATGAATTTCTATACTTAGTAGGTTAGATAAGAATGTGCTTCGTAAAGCACTTTATGTGGGAAGGTAACTGAGATTTATGTTACATACTGAGGTCTAGATATGGGAAGACAACAAAATTCTAACTGAATTCAGCTGATAAATTGTTAATATTGTCAAATCATTTGACCATGCTTGCTCGACATTTTCTTTGATAATAAATGAATGGCTTGTAAAGCTTTAATTTCAGATTATTTTGCAGTACATTTGATGTGTACATGCATATCAAATTGAATAATAATTATGTTTTGTTTTGAGTCAAATAAGAAGCTGATAGGAAAACAATTTCATTAAAATAGAACATCAGACAAAATAATGCATATTCCCCTAACATTAATTACTTGAAGAATTCAGGGGAAAAAATTATGTAATGTAGTTTTTTTATATCTGAATAAATAATCTTGTTTTTTATAATTTTAACAATTACAAATTGAATGGAATTTTGAAAGATTCATTGTGTTGCATCATAATATTTTAATTCAGTTAAATGGAAAGGAGACATTTTAATTATACAAGCAAATTTGATAATCATGTCGCGTTTCAGTATTGAAAAAAATTTTCTCCGTAGCAACTGTAATGTATAGCAAAAAATCTAAAACTCATATTTAGTGTAAATCATAGGATGTTTATGACACTTGCACTTTTGGTTTATTCAGTTTTGGAAAGAAAATGCGGTTCTGCAATAATATGATACGTAAATACAAAACATAGATCAGAAGTTCTCAGCCAGGGAGAATTCGCCCGTGGGTGATATGGTCAGCCTTTATTTAACTTTAGTTCATAAATATAAAAAACTACTTTTATTTGAGGTTTGGTACTTACTAAGTTTTCTATACTTTTTGTTATTTGTGAAACACATTAAAAAATAATCTATATACATATGACATGTATTTTCAAGTTTTGGAAAGAGTCAAAACAGGTTGAGAACTGTTATAGATAAAATGAAGTTTACAAATTGCATTGACAAAATCTAAACTGGGACTATATTTGAGATGAAACAGAGTGACTGCTATATGTCTGCAAATTGCTGTCTGGATTGTCACCATGGACAGGTATGTAAAATTTGAGTAAAGTAAAATTTAAATTAACAGATTTCAAAACTTACCTTCATGCCGCATCATGTGGACTTTAAGCTGACTGTTTGTTCTGCTACAGTAACTGCAGTATGGGCATTTGAAAGGCCGTATATCTGAAAAAGTTCAAAAAAGAAAGTAATAAAATAGTTGCTATTAAATACTTTATTGCCAACATATTGAATATTTACTAGTATTTATAATTTTAATTAATTTCAGATGTTACATAATAGCTCATTTATTTAAAATATATGTAGGAAATCATCTACTGTAAGGTAATGTATTAGCAGCAAGATAAAGATGAGATTTTTTAGTACCAAATCAGCCAAACACTTACGTGAGTAATATTTAATTCTACTTTTTACCATATAAGTATAAATAAGTTTCTCTACAGTAGGTTTGGTTCTTAAATTGAGATTCCACTAACTGATTTGAGTCGTGGAAATCATTCAAGTTTTTTACTTGTCGGAAGATAATTCAAAATCCAAGACTGAGAGCATTTAAAAAGAAGATCCTTTAAAATTATGCAAGAAACAAGTCAGCTGTCTTGCATAATTTTTAATTTTGATAAAAAATTTGCAGAAATAATTGAATAAATATAAACAATAAAAGTGTCAATTTTATTTTAGAGTAGCTTTCAGTAAATATAATCATTTTGCTTATAGCATACTTACTCATTAACTGGATTAATCCCACTTAATGTATGTTGATATTTAAAATTCCAAATAATCTACAAAAAAATGTAGTGTAGTCTTATATTTTGATACAATTTGAAAAGATTTGGTCAAGAATTTTGGAATTATTCCTAATTATTATTCTGTATTGTATTATTATAATAACCTGTGCTATTTTAACCTTCATTATTACCAAAAGACAGGTGTTTTGGAAAATAAGTGAAATGACAAAGCTTCTATACATGCTGTCTTGCAGTTAATTTGATATTTGTTGCAATGTTTATTTTAAATGTAACATTAGGAAAACAGATTTAATTACATATACTGTTAACATTCTCTTGTGTGTTATTTATTTATCCATAACAGTTGCCATCAATTTGTAAATACTTTGTTTAGGTATTAGATATAAATTACGATTTAGCATGCTGTTTCTTTTATAATTTAGTGATAGCTCATTTTTCATATATTACTAAAATTAATGCTAACTGGCATATGAAAATAACATTTTAAAAAAGAGAACTAGGACACAAATTTTTACTTTAGAGAATTTGTTGATTCATTTAGAACTAATATTGTTTTGCAAAATGTGATTTAAAAATAAAAGAAAGTTACTGTGTTTTTGATGAAAGATTTAATATTCACTAATTTCTAGTATGATTTATGTGATTATATAAAGGACATTATAATATATTAAATCAGTATGGAAACTGCTGTCTCAAGTAACATGGAAGTGAGCATGTTAAAACCATTCCTGATTTTATAGTGCATAACATTTAAAAATTTGAGCTAATAGAAATATAAACATTAGAAGTACATATAAACAAATTAATGCATACTTGAAAATAAGAGCCCCCCTTTTTTGCTATATTTTAGGTCTTAATTTTAATAAAGTCTTGTAATTTAATAAATGAAACTGTAAAATGAGAGAAAGGAGTTTAATTATCATACTGTGTAGAATAATTACACTGCTTAAAATATTAAGTAAATACAGTAATTACTGTTTGTTTATTCATGGGAAGCAGCTTACATACCTGACCACAAGTGGCCCTATGGTTTAATTAGGCTGTCTCAGTTATAAGTACAAATGCACATTCACAAAGCGTGCACAAAGTAGAATTCTTGACACAATAATTAACAATGACACAATAAACACAATAATTACTTTATATAAACTACATAACTACTGTGAATTATAATACACTGACTACCAATAAGTATTTGGACACCTATGCAAATGACGATATCTGCGGTCCCAAGGTACGTCACGGACTCCGCCGGTATATATCGTGTAGGAAACAGCATCGGCTTTAGTCGCATGCAAGATGCCTCGCAGTTCGGAGCTCTCTGATTTCGAGAAAGGTATAATTATCGGGTATCACAAATGTGGCCGATCCTTAAGGGACATATCTAGTGATCTGAAGTACCGAAAATCGACAGTGGCCTATGTGATTAAGAAGTGGAAGGTGAGCGGTGATTGTCGGAATGTGCCCCGAGTTGGCAGACCAACGAAACTGGGGGGATAAAGACCGACGAGTGCTGTTCAGAGAAATTCGGAAGAACTGCACCCAACCGATAGCCGTCACCCGCGAGGAGTTTCAACAGGCATCCGGGAGTATTGTTTCAATGAATACCATCCGTAAAGAAGCACATCTGCTTGGTTTTCATGGTCGTGCTGCTGCCCATAAGCCTTTGATCACAAAGTCCAACAGTGCTGCTCGGTTAATGTGGTGCAAAGCACATTGAAATTGGACCGTAGATCAGTGGAAACGGGTTCCTTGCAGTGACGAATCAAAGTTCACCCTTTATCGTTCAGATGGCATGGTCTGGCGTCTACCTGGAGAACCTGGTTCTGGGTCTGGCGTCTACCTGGAGAACGTCTCCTGCCAGAATGCATTGTGCCAACAGTCAAGTTCGGCGGAGGTGGAATTATGGTCTGTGGGTGTTTCTCTTGGTATGGGCTGGGACCATTGGTTCCCATTCATGGTATGCTCAACTCCTATGCCTACTGCACTATTTTGGATGACAATGTGCTTCCTACGTTGTGGCATTTTTACGGGTTGGACCCCTGTTACTTTCAGGATGACAATGCCAGTTGTCATGTTTCGGCGTTAACCAAGGCTTGGTATGGTGCCAATGGAGTTCATCGAATGGACTGGCCTGCCCAGAGTCCAGACCTGAACCCTATCGAGAACCTCTGGAACGAGTTGCATCGCCGAATTCAGGGATGCACTACCCGTGCAAAATCGGTGGAAGAACTTCTATGTCTTCTCCAAGCCGAGTGGAAGAAAATACCACTAGCTGTCATACAAAGACTTGTGTAAAGTATGCCCCGGAGGGTCCACGCTGTAATTACCTCTCGTGGAGGCTCTACCAACTATTGATTTTGAATAAAGTTAGTTTTTCTTTTCTATCACAGGTGTCCAAATACTTATTGGTAGTCAGTGTAGCCATATCTAGTTGAGCTATTTCAGTTTAGACATGCATCTTCTATATTAGGTACTGACAGGGCTGAGAGGGAAGGTAATAATGGATCATTAAGTTTTCCTAATTTTTCTTTCAACACCACAGTAAAACATTGTATTTAATGAAGTAGTTTGCCTTTTATTTTAATCAAAAATGGCATGATCAATAAACAGCCAATAAAAAGAACTGAAGCTTCCAAATAATAATATTTAGACCCCCTCCCCCCCCAAAAAAAATCAAAGTTTTTCGGGTTTCTGAGGGAGGAACCAAAAAATCAAAGTTTTTCGGGGTTCTAAGGGAGGAAATGCTCCAGTTTCAAAAATTTGTTATTACGCAGAAAGGCATTTCAATGTATAAAATGTTACTGATGATGTTCCAAACAACGCATATAGTGTCATATGTTAAGGTGGCACTGATTAGTTTCAAGTAGTTAGGATAAAATTGAGCCAACTGTGTTGCTTTGACCATATGTATAAATACTATAATGAGTATTATAAAACTCTCTCTCTCTATATATATATATTATCAGGGCTGGCGCTAGACACCCAGTGCAAACTTTGCAAATCCAAAATTCTGCCGCCCAGTTCCTTTCTAAAATTTAAAAAAAAAAAAATTTGCTGCACTTTAAGTCTGCTACCTGGTGCAGTCACACTGGTTGCAAATGTTCTGGTGCCAACCCTGCATATCATTTAACTGCAAATATTTTCCTAACATAATAATATTTATAATAATAAATAAGCTATACAATCAACTTAGAAAATTATGCCATCTGTTGCTAGACTTTAAATCTCTTGGTTACTGATCACTCAGCAACATGTGACATAATTCATTTTTTGAAATTCAAAATGTTGATACATGTGCTTAAAAATTTGATTTAAGTGCTGCCATTATGTGCAAGATTGTTACATTTTTAGGTTTCTTAACCTAAAATCCAAAATGCTGCTGAAACTCATTGCAATTGAATAATATCTATATAGGAAAAACACGATTGATATTACTATCCATAAATCATACAAGAAAATTTAAGACTAATAAAAATTTGTCTCTTAGAAAAGTCGGGGGAAAATGTTATTTGTATTTATTGTTTAATATGTTACAGCAAAGCATGCACAGGCTCTGTGCTTGAGGGAAGATGCATCTATGTAAAGGATTTTGCAAATAGGACCTGGCCTCAAATTTACATTACATACAGTGGAAAACACAACAATCGCCATGCTGCCAGCCCGTTCGTCCAGCCTCATACCTGACTCAAGTGACTAATAGAATTTCTTCATATTTTTTAAAACATGTTGTATCATTTTTACACACTGAATTATTAATATATCTTTTTCGGCTGACATTAATTATTTCTGAATTTTAATTATTTAAGCATTGTGGCTTTTAGCTTGAAGAAATCTGAGAATGCAGTGTTTTCACACATAGGCCTTTACCACAGTCAGTGCAACTAGTGAAGCTGCATCAGGTGGCAGAATTTATAGATGGCAAAATTTTGAAGCCACTGGGCAGAGGAATTTAAAAGCACAATGACTGCAAGTGCTAACAACATCAAAGCATTTAGCTCGATTTTATGGATACATTAATTCAATTAGATATCTGCGTATATGTGCTACATAAACAGATATACTCGTAGGTGGAATCCAAATTTTCATGACAAATGACATAATGTGTGATTAACTTTTGCACATAAAAAATTTTCTCCCCCCTCCCATTTTCATTTCTACACCCTTCAGAAATGTATCAAAATGCCAATCCTTATATTAGTGTAACTAATGTATAAATTTAACAAATTAGTTAAGCTTTCTAATGTTAAGCTGTGTGTCAGTAAATGTTATAATTTATATAAATACAGGAAGGAACTTCTATGAAATAATATTTCTGAAATATTTATAATGAATATGAATTCTGAATATGTCAAACAAATCAACAGTACTGTGAAATGAATCAAAACCTAAAAAGCAAAATTTACTGAGTAGCATAAGATGAAAAAATGAAGACATTTCTTGCCATTTTAAAAACTGGAATAGAGATATAAGACCTTGACTCCTGTGCCCACTGGAATACAGTAAATGAACAAAATGCACAACAAAAAGCAAGACCATCATATGCATTGAAAGTTTCTATGTCATATTTTTATAAATTTATTTTAACAGCAGAATAGAGAATCCACTGCCCAGCTACATTTGTTAATGGGAGGAACTTTTCCTTTCTCATATGATGAGCATGTTTTAACTAAATTGTAGATTGTCTTTTTTACTGTTTATATTTTGCTTAATATTGAAAAATTAAATGCCATATTAGATAACACTTGATAATTTTTTATGTAGAAAATATTCAAATTTACATCTATCTTAAAATCTTCTTGGGAAAAAGTGTTATTTATTCAAGATGAGTAGTTGAGGTCATTTTTATTTTCGTATTAAATATTATGTAATTTGAATTCTTATAATTTTAGAAAATAAATTATATATATATTTTAAATACAAATATAGTATCTTCAATATGCTGAAAGTAAAATATAAATTAATTCAGGTAATTAAGTAGTAGTAGCATTAAATTAAACTAAAATATAGTATCACATTCTTAAATTGAAATTCGATTATATGACCTTCGATTTATTTCTTTTTCCCTAATAATCACTTGATGTATTAAATGTGGGCATTTTATACATATTTCGTTTTAAATTTTCTAAATATATATATATATAAAAAATTTTTTAAATAATTTAAATATATAGATTATATGTTATACATATACACATGTAAATATCTTAAATTCAAAAAGCAATAGAAGCATAATAAAACCTAGACCAATTGACAGTGGCTGCAATTTTGAAAATAAATCAATTACAAAATCGAACAAAAAAAGAAAAAGCCACTAATATTTGAGGCTAAACTATTCAACCATGTAACAAAATATAAACACAAAGAAAAATACAATTCACAACAAAAATTTCTTTCAAGAAAAAAATTATGAAAAAATGGGAAATTTCAATTAAACCAAATAATAATATTTTCCCCCCTGTTTTTTTTATTCGATTATGAGATTTTGGGTTATTATTTATATATACATATATGTACAAAAAATCTTCAGATATCGTATGCTTATAACTAATTAATTAAATGTTTGCAAAATTTGTTGGAATATAATAAATAAAGGCATATGAAATTTATTTATATGGAAATGCATTTGATAGATTTTATAACAATTCTTTTAATTTACCTGCATGAAAACTCATGTGCCTGTTGATATCTGTGATCGAATTAAAACTTTTGTGACAGTAACTACATGGAAACAAGCATCGAGATTCAAAGCCTTGGTAACTTTAGCGGTAGATCTGACAGGAACATCGTAACATTAAGTGTTTACAAACATAATATATAATTATTCAAGATTAATTAAAACTTTCAAAAGAAGCCTAAGTAGAAATTATATTATTTAAAATGTTAAAATAACTGCAGTATCATAAAAAATAAACTTAACTAAAATTTTAGTGAAGAGTTACAAAATATTTTTCTTGTTTAGACTATATATATATTAATAAGACACACTGCTTATATTATCTCTAATAATATTGTATATATAAAGTGAAGGAGTAGAATCAACTCATAATAATATTATCAATTATGAAACAATCTGTACATTTTTCTTGTACTTCACTCCTAAATTTATTAATCATTGTAGTAGAATCCGATAATCTGTTTTCATAAGTATTCATGTCAATTGAAACTTAAATTTGATAAATTTAAAACATATTTGTAATTGTGATAAAATCTTGAATGTTTCTAAAATTCTAATAGTGTGTTAGTCAAATTATGAAAATAACAGAGTTGCTTCTGATCAATTAACCACACCTGTATTAACCAGATTGTGGAATGAGGATACTTTTTCCAAAAAAAAATTAAGCTTAATTATTGTGGAATGATGGAAAAATTACAATTACAACCCAACCATGTAAAACAATATAAAGGCAAATGAATGGGATAGCAATAGTATCCTAAGTAATGGCATAATGTGATATAATAAATAATATATAAGTATAAATGTTGCCATAATCATTTATTACTCAGTTCTTCATTTCTAACAGTGTTTATTCTTTCATTATTTTACAGTGTGTTTTCTCTATATTTAATTTTTTATACTGATTTAATTTACGTATCCAGTATCCTTCAGATGAAACTTCATGAATGCCTGTAAATAATTTTGGTTAATGACTATATGTGTTATTCTTTTTTTGTGTGCTTTTTTAACTGCCCTCAGATTAACTGTGATTCTGAATTAGCTATGGATGTCATCTCCAATATTACCCCTGTTAATCAGGCTGTTACATCATTAATTTAAAATTCATGCAAATATGAATACAGTTATGGTGCTGTGCTTATATAAATGTAATGCAATGATTAAATATATAACTTGTAAAAGGTGAATCACTACCCAGAAATTTACCATGATTTTATTTAGACTTTTTTTATATATATATGATAGGACAATTTACTGCTATATCAGTAAATATCTGCACTGTGCTTATACATTATTAGTATATTGTTCATAATCACAATTAAAAAATATTAATATTGAATATTGTTGAGGAATAGAAACATAAAATACACTTCAGGATATTTTTTCCTTTGTATTTTTTAAAATATTTATTTATTTATTTTTTGTTTGTTTTCATGTAAGTGAAATTTATGCTGATAGGCATGCTGTTGAAAATGTTACTAAAAAATTTCTTCAAAAAACATGCTTTTTACAAAGCCTCATCTACTCATGAAATCAAAGCTCATTAGATATATTCTTATTTATGCATTGAAACTGCTACTGAAGAAGTAATTTTCACTTTCAGTGTGCAATGCCAAAAAAAAAAAAAAAAAAAAAAAAAAAAAAAAAAAAAACTGGGCTAAAAAAGAATAAAACTTTCTGTACTCAAGAAATGACTGCTGGACGCTGATTGGTACCATGTGGTGGGCTGGCATTCAGCTTTTTGCACCACAGTTTTATGTCTGTTGTTTCTAAATTCCCTGTAAATTCGTAATTTTGAAAAAATTTGCTGCCTGGTGCAGCCATATAGTCTATGGTGACTGTTCTATATTGTGGCAATGTTACAAATATTTGCATCTTGAGTGCAGAGAGTTACAATACAAAAGGAAATCTTTAAAGAGAGTACTTGCCCAAGACTGTTGTCACTTTGAAATGATAAGTTCCTGTCTTGTACTTCACCTGTTTCTAATTCCCTATTTGGAGGTTCTTCCACTTTCTCTTTCACTGTTGGGTTTCTCATATCAATAGGTTCATTCACAGCTGGTTCAATATTGAAATAATTTAATTGAGGAAATGCTATTTCTGATTTCAAAGTACCATCTGAAATTAATAACAAAATATATTCATTTACCGTATATTCTTAATACCCTCAAATTAATATTATCTATTATATTTGATATGCTATTGCATACTGAATATACTTTCATTACTATTAGATATTTAAAAATAATAAAGAATAATATTAATTAGTTTTGAGCTTGTCATCATCAGAAATGAGAAATAGCAAAAACCAATTTGTATTAATATCAGTGCCTTTAAATATGTAAATTTTACAGGTTTTTGATAAAACAGAAATGGTTTTCAATGTGTTAGATATTATCAATATGGTTAATTATGATTCACTGAATATATTTCTGTTATCAATGAAATTTTGGCATGGCTTATAGCATGCAGAAGAATGATACAAAAAATATCAGAAGCATACTTGGCAGTATTTAATTACAATAGTGCTCGCTGTTCGGAAAAATAAAGTATTTCATTACATCAGAGATAGTCATCCTACAGAGGTGGTTATCAAGAGGTTTAACTATATTATTATTGTATATTTTGGAACTAAATGATTATTCATATGCAAGTTAATGAAATCACTGAATATATCTAACCCAATGCTAAAATGTATCATGTTCCTAAAAGTTATTTTCTAACCAAATGACATGCAAAGTGAAAGCCACTCTATAAGATTTCTTAATATCTTAAAAATGTTATTATTTTTTAGAGAAAATTTAAATATATTAGCAATAGAATAAAATCTATTTTATATAGATTGCACTTAATAATTAACAGCAAACTGAAAGGTGAAACTTCATTAATTTTGAAAGCTTATAACCAGTTTAATAAAGGGGGAAAAAGTATAAACTTTAGTATTTTACAATACACTATAGATTTTAGTAAGCAAACATACTAAGAGCTTCTGCAGCTGGTAGCAAACTGCTCTCAGAGACTGCTTCTGTGTGCTTTTCAAGAAAACTGTTTTCAGCGATTGAAAACAGCATATCTTCTCCACCAAGATGTAATGTTTGACAGGACATTGTAGATAATTTAAATGGCCTTCCTTTCCTTCGGTTGCCAAGTAGAGATCGTTTTGGATCTTGTAATACTTCTACAGCACCATTGTTACCCGTCTCAGTGCCATTTGTTAAATTTATATCTTTCACATCTTCAGCTACCCCAGGGGAAAGTTTTGGAGGGGGAACTTCTCCAAGATCCTGAGAAGGAGATAGTTGTGTTAGATGAGAGGTAGCATCAAATAATTTTGGCATTGTTGTTAATGTGTTTTGTTCATGAAAATTTTCAGGAATGTTAGATGCAATTGAAGTTGATAAATTTTGAGGCTGATCCGATTCTTGAGTTGCTTCTGTTTGTATTTTCACAGAGCTGCTATTAACATCTGTTTGGGTTGGAGGATCTAATTTATTCTGTCCCATTGAGTTTAATATCCTAACTGCAGTTTTCTTCAAAAATGAAACCAGTTTCTGAGAGCTGCTAACATTTCTCATCCTGTTAGGACGTCTTCTATATGGCAGAGGTTCTTTTTGTGCTGATTCAGCATGAAAGCGTATTATGTGATGCCTCAGATTTCTTAATTCACTAAATCCCCTGCCACAAATTTTGCAAAAGCAAGCTTTTACACCACTATGAATTCGTTCATGTCTCTGTAGTGAGAAAATACGATCAAAAGTTTTAGGACATAATTTACATTGGAAAGTGCAACCCTGAACCACATTTTTATCCTCATAATTCTCCATTGTGCTGTGATTTTCTGTAGAAGCATGGGAGTTATTTTGAATTGTTTCATCTTGATTGTTATTCCCTGATTGCACCTGAGGTTGCAAAGCTGCTGCAAAGAAAGGAAAGAAGCCAGGCTGCATGAGGGGAGGTATTTGTTGAGGCATAGGAAAAAAGGGATATGGCAACAACCGTGTTGCAGGTAAAACATTTTGTTCACTTGGAGTGACTACTGGAATAGGAAAAGGATTTACGTAGTAGCTGGGTAAGTAAGGAGACGTAGGCACATACTTTCTATCAGACGCCTGGTGACATTCTAAGTGAGAATCTAACTCCGTCCTCCATTTGAAAGATGCACCACATTTCTCACAATCTTTCTCCTTACTTGTATCATTGTGCAAAGCTAAATGTCCACATATTACCCTTAAGCTTGCAAATGCTTTGCCACAGAGACCACATTTGTAAAGAACGTATTTCTGTTGAGTTCCTGGATGAATTGCTTCCAGTTTTGATATCAAAACACTTTCAGAAGTAACCTGCAAACTTTCCCAAGATATAGGCTTTTCGTTCATCAAACCTTCTTCTGTTGCAGGAGTGCTAGGGAAAAATATATGTGGTGGCAGAACAAATGGATTAGAAGCATTTGTATTAGTTGTATTATTAATGCTAAAGGCAGTACCAGTTGTATTTGCTGTTGAACTTGGCAGAGTATTTGAGTAATAAGGCATTTGTTTAATGTCACTGTCACTTATGCCCATTAAATTTCTTAGAGTTCTCTCAGCTTTTTCATTGTTATTTTCGGATACATTATTATTAATCTCATCTTCATAAGAATCTGCTTTTTCTTTTTTGATTTCAAGAGTGAAGTCACTATTAAGATGTAAATCTATGGCATCTTCATTTTTATTTGGTTGTGTTAACTGCGGAGACTTGCTTGTGAAATTTTGTGTTGCTTGAGAGAAAAACTTTTGTTCAATCTCTTCATTTGGATAAGTAGGTAAAAAGGAATAATTCACTTTGTCCTGGGAACATTTTTCTTTGTTCACAAGTTCTTTCTTACTATGGTTGTGTGAGGTGCTAGATCCCAATTTTGACTTCTGCAGCCGAACATGAGGAGGTATCCAACGCCTTTTCTTCAGTCTGCTTTCTAGTGCTGGACTAAGATAAACTTTTTCATCATGCATTGACCTGAGATGATACCTGAGAGTATATATTGACCTAAATTGTCTTTTACAGTGAGTACATTTATGAGTCTTAATGCGTAATATGGGCACCTTTTTCGAACGATCTTTTTTCTTTTTCTTTGACATATAAATTGGATCATGATGATCCTTTTTACTCTCATTTATGTTATCTTGCTGCTCTAAGAATGTGTCATGTTCTTGTTTGATGGATGGTATTTCAGTTTCATTTTTACTTGTATCTTGGTGCGTTGCTTCCTCTTTTATATTATTTAAGCTGTTCTCATTTTGAGAACTAAAAAGACCAACAAAGCTTACTGGACCATCACTTGTGCTAGAAATTTCTTCGCCAGCAAGGATTTCTGTGTCTTCATCTTGGTCTATTACTGTTGGTGTTTCTGTTTTTTGTATCATGAAAGAATTATGCATGAGTTTATCCATCATCATTGGCATTTGGTTTGGAAAACTATCTTTCACTTTCGATGTGTTTCTTTTAACTTTTCGATGATCCAGGACATCAAGACGGTGTGCTGACAAGCCATCTTTAATGCCATGACTGAGGTACTGGTGTGTGAGTTGGCTTCTTTTACATTTAAATGTCTTATCACATGCCACACATGGGAAAGGTCTTTCACCTGTGTGTACCCTCATGTGGCGTAAGAGATCTGATGGTGTTCGAGCATGTTTTCCACACACTTGACATTTTTTATTTTTTTCAGGTTTATATGCATAATGAGGAATTTGCACCATGAATGATGAAGGAATGTTTTCTATAGGACTTTGTCCAATTTTGGATCGAGTTCTAGTGGTAGGACCATTTTCAATAATACCATTCTCATCCTGAGATTCTTGGATTTGTTGTCTACAGTTTTCTTGGCCATAGGAACTCGCATGCATAATGCCTGACATTTCGGAGACAGCGGAAAGACGTTCTGGTTCCCTCTGCTTAGACTGCACAGGTACCTCATCTCTGCTGTCCATAGGGTCAAAATCATATTGTTCCATGATCAAGTTACTTTAGCATCCAAATTGCACAAAGCTCCATTTCTTTCTCACATCTAAAATATAATAAAAAAAATTAATTTAAGTAGAATTAAATTCAAAGCAAATTCATATATCACACCAGTTGTATTTGCAGTTGAATTTGGTAATAAAGAAATAGGAATTGGAATAACTATTGCAAAAAACCACTGTATAAAATGATTGTAAAAGAAATAATCAAATACAAGAATGTAGTAAAATACAGCAGAGGATTTTACATTTCCCAGCATATCTTCTTCAGGGGATTCGTACACCGAGAAATGCAAAAGAAAGAGCCTGGAGATGTGCAATTAAACTTGTATATATTTTTTTATTATAAAGTAGCAAGACACATTATTAGAGACTTTAGTGATCAAGAATTTATGCATTGACGCAAATTTTTTTTTTAATTTTAGAAAACTTCTAAAATTTATTTTTTATATCTATATATAATTTATTTCTAAAGAAATATTAATTATATTACTCCTAAGATTAATTTTGTAGAATTGTCTTAAAGAGTGAAATCCATAGTTAGTAAGTTCAATTTCTAAAATTTTTTAAAAGTACTTGAATTTAAATTTTAAAAATGTTTAACGGGGACTTGAATTAAATCATGAATAAAAAAAAATTCAATTGTAAAAAGAAATAATAAATGCAAGTAATCATTGCCATTGATCGGAAATTGGCTCAGAACCAGGCTTTTTCTTATATATTATATATATATATAAGTAAACAAGGTAATTATTAATATATAACAATATGGCCAAATATATCTTCAAAGTTAATACAGTCAGTGCTTTCAAATTAGAGAGCAGAATTAGTATGGTGTATATAGTTCATGATAGTTACTACAAAGTGCCCTATGTTGTAGAATATTAACATGTAGTTTAACAACACATAAACAAAACAGAAATACTCTAGACACTTAATAGAACATTCTTCATTACTAGCTCTTGGTAACAGTCTAGAGAAAGATTTTACCAGGTTTACTAGCTGAGGTCATGGAATTCTGGTGGATTACTAAGAGGTGACAATGAACTCTGAGCTAGCACTCAATAGCATCCCACATGTGTTGAATAGGATTAATATCCAGTCAATAGGAGGTGGAACATCATCTGGAATTCATAAGCTTGTTCTGCAGACCATTTAGCATAATTCTGGCCTTGTGATAAGCAGTGCTTTCCTTCTGGAAGAATTCTTTTCTAGTGGGGCAGATGGAAACCATGAAAGAAGTAACTGGTCAGCAGTGGTGTACACAAAATTCACAGCTGTCATGTTGTGTTCTATAAGAACCTCTGATCCTAGAATTTCCATCAACGTGATATAAAAGAAATTGTAATTCATATGATCAAATAACTCTCTTCCAGTGTTATGTGATCTTGTCACGATATTCACAGGCACACTATAACCATAAGCACTGATGATAATGGTTTAACGAAATGAGTGTTCTGCTGAGGAGCCCTGTATCCAATACAGTCTGTTGAATTGTCTGCTTAGATAACATGGACTTGGACCTGACACTGTATTCAACTGTCAGTTGAGCTGCTGAAGCTACTGACAACCAACTATTTATCTTAATGAAGCAGGACAGTGTTTAACATTTGCATATGTTGGTCAGGCTATAGGACCTACTATCCTCTTTTCTCTTTTCACAGGTATTAAAAGCACAGCAGCATATGAACACCCAACAAGCAGTGACATCTAGAGAGGAGCAAGGGGGATATTCATCCCCAGGCATGTAATCCAGGGAGTGCCTAATTGATGTTACGTTTAGAATGAAATGTTTTACATTCTTGGAAAACAGGAACTTCAGTTGTCCCCAGGTGCTGAAATCCCTATCTACAGTTCTGCGAACAAGCAGTATCATTTTAGAGATACTCATTCCTAGCTCTTGGGCTATCATAATCTGTCCTGCATTGAAGCTGTTTAAATCAGCAACTTTTCCCATTACATTCACATATAGTTGACAGAATGATACCTTAGAAACCCCAATAGCCATTAAATAACTTTCCATGTTGCCATATCCCACAATGCCATCTACATCATTCCAATAAACACTTTCTGTCAATGTATGGGTGGTCATAATGTTTATGCCGATAATTATATTTTGAATTGATGAGTGAATTAAGACAATTTGGAACCTTAAGCACAGCCTGCTTCTTGAGCTATAATGCTTACTTTCCTAACTTTTTGGAGACTGCTTAAGGAAGAACACAGATATTACATTTTTCACAATTTAAATATTTTTGTTTGTATAAAAGAAGCTACTTTTCTTAATTGACCTTTGTTTATAATTTTATTAAATAATAACAATTGTTACAAATTAATAGACTTTTAATTATAGTATTATATAATTTTACAATTTAGATCCTTAAAATTTTGAGTTCTAGACCTTTGACAGTAAACAAGGTTTACTTATATGAACTTGAATGTCTGAAGTACCATTCTGTAATCGGCATGTCAAGGCTAATAGGATAATATGAAAGGATATTAAAAAGTGGTATTCAGAATTATATAATTTTAAACTATATTCATCATTGCATAATACAGTCAAACATATAGTACATAATGAAAATAAGAAGCTATACTAATAATATACTATGATGCCCTGTCTTTATATCTGAAAACATAACAATATAAAACAGTATCAACCATACATTTTTATAAATCACACATATTGCTTTAGACAGTATTAGTTAATACTTTCATAAATGTTTAATAAATAGCACTTAAAATATAGATTTTAAATAAAGAATAATTAAAAAGATAATTATTAATAATTTTATCTTAAAAGTTCAATCTAAAGTAAAATTGACTGCATATAAATTTTTATAGTCTGCTTCATTTGTAACATTAATATGTGCAAGTTTTCTTTGGAAAAGTTGCACTTTGGTCAAATAAACTTTATTGATTTTAATTAAATTGATGCAAGTATGCTTAACAAGTTAATCAATTAATTCCAGTCCTATGTAAAATGAAGGTTGCTTCCTCAAGATCTCTAAATCAATTTACTGCTTATTTACATTGCAGATTGTATTTCTTCACAAATTGTTTTTGAACATAAGCTCTTTCTTAGATTTTAGGATTTACATTAAATCAGAGGGAAAAAATAATAACTAAAGCAAAACTTAAAATACAAACGCTACAACTTAGCTGAAGAAACGCTATAATATACTAATTTTTACACCTGAAGATGATTCAGAAACAGTTTTGCATAAGATGCTTTATAAGTCTGACTGAGCCCCAAAGAAGAATCTTTTCAGAACTGGAAGGCATGAAAATTCATGTCTGTATGCCAGTTACTATCCAGAAATTATACAAGCTACAGTATCTGAAGGAAACAGCTAGCTTCTAAATAAAAATATCTAAAATCTTTTGCTGAAGTTGACTGGTTCTAGTTAATCCTCAGTTAGTTGCTTTCATGTATGTTCTCAAGTTGGTCTCTAACTGATTATTCCACTAATTATACACTTTTAAGCTGGTCTTTTACTAATTAATGCGTAAATTATGCAAACTACAATATTTCAAAGAAGTGCCATGGATCTATATCCTTGACACTGATTGAGTGCCAGAGCGTTTAAGCAGTTGAAGATTGGATGCCTTTCTGAAGGTTTCCTAAGGGTAACATTTAGCGCAAGTGTAATAAAACTACTTTCTAAACAAAAGTTTAGAAAACGGAATTTGATTTACACTTTACGCGTGAAAATTATGATAGTACCAGTCTTACGCTGTGAAATAACGCCATTTGAGAGGCATATCATATGAACGATCGTCCAGGCATAATGGGATAGTTAGCAATCAGCAAGAAATAACTAGGTTACTTAATTTCTCATTTACTTAAAATTGACTTACAAATGATGAGGGGGGAAAATTAATCTAGGACATACAGCATTAGATCATCTTTGCCAGCAGGCGGCGCTCTCGCAGTAGAACATCAGTGTTTGACATAGGAAGACTTTTGCTTTGATCAAGAACTCGCTTTCTGAAGCTCATCCAGTGGCGGGAAAGGAGACAAAGTAAAGAAAACTGCGTGCGCGTCGTGATGAGGACGGTTACGCGCGTTTCGCGTGACATTCTTTGCAGGAAATCCAGTTTGGGTCCGAGCTGGATAGGTGACGCCGGTGTCAAGGCCGGCCGCATTTACACGCAATGCGCACACTTCTCGGGTCTTTTCTGCCTCCCCCCCACACACCAACAAAGCCCCGAGTGAATACTCAGGGAAAGGGGGGAGGGAAAAAAGATGGCTTATCGTCAACGCGTGATCAGCGAGCGCCTCTGGGTTTTCTTTCTCGGAAAGCGCAACCAGGATCCCAACCTGGCGAACTGCCGCTTCCTTAAAAAAAAGAGGGGAGGTGTGGAAAGAGTTGGTTAGGGAAAAAAATAAAAGAAAGCGAACGAGAATGGACTTAGCTGAAGCCTGAAAGAAATGAAATCGTTGAGTTTTGAGAGCGGAATGTTTTTATCTTGCTGTTCCCTAAATAAGAACGCATTAACTACTTGAAAGGAAAACCGCACCGCTCAAAACATGCTAGTTTAGAGAAAAAAGCTTTTTAAGATTGTAGTCAAACTGTGATTGAGATATTATTTATAAAGCAGAAATAAAGTAAAAGCTTTATGTGTAACAGATATTTAATTTTTATAAGGATTGACTATCACGGGAAGCAGGTAATAGGCAGAGCTAGTTTTTGTGACTATACTGTAACTCTGTTTAGCTATATAAAAACATGACATTTTAAAATTATTTTATTCACATATTTAAAATTTTAAATGCTTAAAATCATAGTTGCAGGTCACATGCAAATCTTATCCGTGATTTATCATAGTCGATGTATACGTGGAAAGTAAAAAAACATGCAATAGTTCAGTCGGCGTATGTATTCAGAAAATGGAGATGTAAAATTTTGTTGTTCGATGCTCGATTAGATAAAGGACGTGATGTATATGACTTCATGAAGAGATTTCTCTTAAGATTATGATTTCCTGAAGAACTATGATAAAGAACGTGATGTACCTTTAAGATTTCATGTAGAGATTTCTTATCATAATTGTTCATTTCCTACATTTCTTGGTTTTCAGACTGAAACGCATCTTTATATTTTCCGGTGAAATTTTTCGCTTCGTTAAATCATCATTGACATAACTAGCAATAGTTGCATTTTTTTCGGGGGGGGGCATCTCTGATAAAAGGAACTAAGGACAGTTTATACATATGTTGACCGTAAAAATCGCTTGATACTGTCATATATTTTTCATGGTCTTGTTATAAAATTTATATCTATTTTAGGATATGTCATATTAAATTTCATAAATACGGTCAGAATACATAAAACCATTATTTCGACTGCATTTATAGATTCTCTGCATTAGAAATCTTGTAATGTAATATACGAGTGTGCAGCAACCCTCCTGGCCGATAATAATCGGCCTTATGGATAATGCAGCACACCCAACACAGATTAAAACAAAAATACTGTTAAAAACATCAAATCCAAATTCCCAATAAAGTTCACCAAATCGTTTGCAAATCTAAACTCTTTCCTGGGCAGTAGAATTCCTTTACGTTGCCATGTTTTTCCCTAACGTGCCGCAATAATACGCAGTCTTCGATGAAATGTTGTGCATTGCCAAAAACTATTATTTTGCTAATTAAATCTTTTCAGATACGCCGGGAAGCGCCCGTTCCCAGTAATTATTTGATTGTAATCCAAAATAGCATAACATTCTCTTATTTATAGAAACTTCATATGATAAGTTCAACAAACAATCTTTCCTTTTTTCCAAAATGTTCCATTTCTCTTCCCAGCAATCATAACAGAAATCCTTGATTTTACCAGTAACAATTCTTTTGATGCCTGAATATCGAACGCATTCACGGCATTACCCATAGCCGGGAATGCGTAACCCATAAGCCGGGAACTCACCAGATAGTGAGTCTCTCTATATATTAATATAAGTTTTAACAATCAGGCTTTCATCAATCCATTGAAGATCAGATATGATAGCAGACAGTTCGGCTTGAAAAACCGAATAGTAAGGTTCAAGTCTAATTTTGTCATTGTCTATTTCTATACCAAATAAATAAACCACACATACTGGAATTCCATTGTCATAACCCGAATCGTCAGTAAATACATCCAGTTCTCCGCGCAAACATTTAGTCTCTGATATTCCACTGTTTTTCTTAAAGCAGGATGTATACTGTTAAGATTAAAGCAGGGGCGTAGCTAGAGTTTCCATAGCCTGGGGACAGCTGAAGAATTTGCGCCCCTTTCTGCGTGCTAAGAATGGAAAACATTTCATTAAAAAATTTCGTACCATCAGTTTGGCGTCCCTTGGATGCTGCGCGCGGGGTACGCCACTGGATTAAAGGTAGAAAAACACGTATAATACGCAGGTGACAGGTCCGGACACCCGGGCGGCTTGCATAGCTTAATCGGGTATCGTCCGGATTCCGCAGCTGTTTAAAGGAACACTCCGAAATCAAGACGTTACATGGCCATACAAGGGTGAAGTATCAGATTATTCTGCATGCGTTACATAAAACAGAATATACGAAATATAAGTAACAGATCTGAAGACGCATAATACATTCCATACTACTTTCGATGGAATAACATTATTCTAAAAGCTCATGGTTGCAGAAATTTTGCAGTACTCTGAAAACATACCAAAAATAACTTTGTAATTAAACATTTTCCTGGTTACATCGCATGTTAACACACTGCTATACGTACTCGTTACACTATACATTTTATAATATGCATTGCATTGATCGTTGCACTATACTTAAGGCACATTTACAAAACTCATTACTACACTTAATACACTATATATTCTATGCTACATATTATGCTGAACATTATTCTTGACAATTAAACAAAGATTCTGAATAATGTAATTGAGTATATATAATACATAACTTGGTTATATAAGACATAGTTTTTGTTACAACAGACTTAAATAAAGAGCAAAATTACACATTACTAACAAATTACACAATGTGCAATATGCAGTAAAAGTCCCGTAAGTAATAAAATCAACATTTTGTGAAAGTAATTTAAATTTATCATAATTAAAAGAATAAAATATCGAGAGGGGCGGCATACCGGCTAATACCCAAACGACTTCGTCGTGAATCTTTTAAGGCATCTGATGAGAAGCAGTAGCCAGGGTCGTTGTATTGTGTCTAATTTATTTCTGATTCGCTGCAGATCCGCAGCCCTGAAACACCATATAATAAATATAACAGGAGTAATAACTGTTTTGTAAATTAATCTAATAACGTTACTGTTCAGTGCTAAAGACTCGGTTGAGAGATTTCTTTTATAATACAACGGAATAAAGTTTGTTCTTTTATAAATATTATTAAAATGTTCTTCAAAATTCAACTTACAATTGAAAAAAAAAAAAAAAAAAAAAACACCAAGCTATTTTAAATTTTCAACACATTTAATTCGAATACCTTCATATTTTAGTTTTTTTTTCACGTTTAGGGGAAAACAGGAAATTGGTTTTTTGTAAATTTAATCTCAGCTTTTCTTTCTCAATCCACATTTTCAGATCCTCTACAGCAAATGAAAACAGTTTCCCTAATTTATCCAAAGAGTTTTCACGAATCACATAAAATGTTATCAGCACAACATAACATTCTTATACCATTTGGACAATCTTTCTTTAGCAATCCATACATTACAGGGTTCAGAGTCGCAGCACTGCAAGAAAAAGCAGTGGGCATCTTTTGTAAACCATATAAATTTCCTTATAAAATGTGTAATAACATAACTAAGAAAGATTCTATAAATATTTTGGGGGATCTCAAATTCTCTAAAGATGGAGAACAAAGATGTTCATCTAATAGAATCAAAGGCTCCCCCTAGACATCGAAGAAGACCACAGCCAAATGGAATTTTGACTTTTGTCAGCTAATAATATTGCCTAGATCATAAAGAGCATTTTCCGTGGAGGGCCTGGCGTAACTCCGTATCGTTTTAATAATACAAAATCATTCTCTAATAAAAAGTAGTAGAGTCTGTTTGTCAGCAATTTATCCAAAACTTTTGCATAAAATTTTAACAAACATATAGGTCTGGTTGCCCCACTAAACTTCGGAATAAACAAAACTCTAGAAATTTTCCACATTTTAGGAAAACAGCATAAATAAGGACATTTATTCTATAATAACACAAAGAAATCAGAATATTTCCAAAATAAAAATTTTATTACCATAGTGGCTGTGATCCCACCTGGTCTCAGGGCACTACGATTACGCAATTTCTTAACCATGTTGCTAATTTCCTCAAAACTAAATGGCAGATCATCTGAAGCGCATCCAACATCCTGCAACAATTCCGCACCCCCCCCAAAAAAAACATCTTCAACAGACCCACAGCCAACGTGCCTATTAAAATAACCCTTTATAACCTCAAAATTATTCACATCAGTATTACCTTTTTCTCTCATAAACCATTTCCGAGACATGTTTTACCACTAGTCGCACGAAGAAACCCTCCGTAATACTTTGTACTCTGAAAAATGAATCCTATTTTACTTTGGCGTTTTTCATCAATATTTTAATCTGACACTGTTTTCTGAATGCGCGAATCCGTTGTTTTAATCTCTTTAGTTCTGGTGTTCACCAGAGAATAACATTCTTACCTCTCCTGTTGTGAAGTCTCAGGATCGTATTGGCTCTATTAACTATTGACTCTACTAACTTTCCAGTTTAACAGCAAAGTCATGAAGCTGATCTTTCTCTAGAATATATATAAGTTCCTTTCTTAAATTCTTCATTGTACTCCTTAAACTTTTAACATATCTTCCGACTCTTTGTATAACGTGAAAAATCTAATTGCTTTATGACATTTCATACGTATTTAATTCAAATTAATAGAAATGTATTTATGATCGCTCAATGATGCCTCTTGTTCAATAATTAATTACTCAGACATCGAAGACATTCCAGAGGACCTTAAAACTAAATCCGTCCAACCTTCCACAGCTGGAGATACAAAAGTAGGCAACTAATTGCAGTCACTATAAAGAATGAAATTATTCTGTAAAATGAAATCAAAAGAGTTACACAGTAGAAATTTTTGTCAACAGTTTGGAAGGGGAAGAAGATTTTAAGGGGAAGATAAAACATAGTCCTGCATTCGAAGGAGATAGCTTCTTTTGTACAATGCCATCATGTTTGTCATGCGGGAGGGTGAAGCACAGGAATT